AGCTGTTGGGTTCCATCGAACCCAGTGATTGTTGGGTTCTCAAACCTAACAAAAGTTGAAAGGGAAGAGAAAAGCGAGAGAAAAAAAAAACAGCAAATCTATTAGGTTCAAGAACCCAACAGATTTGCAAAACCCAACAAATCTACTAGGTCGAAGAAAGGGAAGAGGAAAGAGAGGGAAAAAAAAAACTGAAAAAAGGGAATTTTTTTGGTGGGATGAATTGAAATTACATGCATAAAATTGTTGGTCATGTCATTTTTTTTTTCCAATTGTCAATCTTTCATGTGAAAATTTTAGACATGTAATGCTTTTTCCATCAATTAATGTGGAAAATTTGATGGAAGGACCAAGTTGGGGTTAAAATGGTAAACAGTAGAGACCAAATCAAAGATTTTTCAAGTCAAGGGACTCAATTGAAGGTTCATACAATAGTTAAGGGATCAAAATAAAGATTTAACCTTTAAAAGAATACCCCCTAAGGCTTCGGATGACGTGCTTTAAATATGGAGAGCCAGCTGTAAATAGGCGTTATTTAATCGTTGGGTGAATGTGTTCGCTAACCACTTTGTTATCTAATACCAACATATTCAAAATTTATATCTTGCACACAATTTTAAAACTTGAATTAATTAATAAAAAAGTATTATTTTATATATTAAATTTTAAAATTAATATTTAAAATAATTAACTTTTTGGATACGTTAAAGTAATGTGGATGATGTCTTTTAATATCACTTAAAAAAATATTAATCTCAAATTATGTAAGAACTATCTCATCACATCTTAATTGTAAATAAAAAAAATATTTATATATTGCACTTGCCGCAATTGCTTTAAATAAATGTTATCTAATTGTTGTGTGAATGCGTTTGCTCAACACTCTGTTAACAAGACAAAAATCTGTAATTACACTTGCTGCAATAGCTATGAATAGGTGCTCATTTAAAAAACCAAAAGTATGGTTTACTTTAGTTATTTTTATTATTTTTTAATAAGTATAAATTTTTAGGGGATGGGGATTTTGGAACTAGAGTGTACCTCAAAGTTGATTGTTAGCCAATTGGCCCACAAACCCAGGTGTCTGTGTACTGTAGTTAATATGGATTGGTTAGGGAGCTAAAAAAATGATATTGCTTCAAATCAAAAGTTGGTAGTGACAACTAAGGAAAATTTGTTGGAGCTATAGTAACATTGTGAGGTCTTGTGTCACAAAAACTCGTGAATTTTATATCATGTTAATTTTTAGAAACACATTAAGTTTTTATCGTTGTCAAACATAGTGTCATATTTTCAAAACCTTAATTTTTTACTAATCCTTCCATTGAACTATTTCTTAATGATTCTGACACAAGTACATTTAATAAGCTCCACAATGCCTCACTACATGCTCCAACTAGTTCTACAAAAGATGACCTACCTGTTTGTAATGCATTAGATAATTCTAGACCTTCCTCCACTTCCTCATTTGTATCACCTTGTTGACGACCACACTCAAAATTAAAAAACATTAATTGTTAAGTGTGAAAGATATAAGAAAAGGAAGTCACCACTCATCTAAATTATAAGTTGGGACAAGTCACTTTAAAACGGGTTTGTGCAGAAATCGAGGTTCGAGAGTTCGGTTAAAAGTGAGGAAAGGCATGCGCGCACCTCACAATCCTCTGTATATGCACACGATTGCATACTTTAAAATTGAGGTTTTAATTCAACTTATTAATTATTTTATGTTTAAATCTTAATAAGTAAACTTAAAAAAAGATAAACTAAATTGAAACTTTTTTTTTTTTTAAATTTTTAGACTAGAATGGACAAAATCAAAGACATGCATGCATCATAAGCACAAATAAAAATTAAAGGGACTAATTTGATTAAATTCAAAACATAAAGGATTGATTTGATAAGTTCAAAAATATGAAGGACTGATTTTAAAAGATTTGAAACCTTGGGACTGAATTGCTTAATTATAAAACTTTTAAGTGAAATTGAGATAAAATAAAAGATAACTTTCACTTTAACCAAAATTAAAGAAAATTGAGGATTGAAATTAATTAATTAAAATAATTAGTTTAATTAAATAATTAATTTAACATTAATTAAAATTAATTAATCACATTTATTAATTATCCCAAATAAATATAATTATCTCAAATTAAA